TAAGAGATCTATCTATGATACATGATGATATGATATTAGGATTAAGATTTTTACAATTCTCTTTACAAACCATAATTATACATGAGCAAGGAATTACATTTATGACTTATCAAGACAACAGTCCATATATAACAGAAGTACGAAAGATTATAAATTCTAATCCAGGAAAGATCAATTTAGAACTCCAAGGATCTGATGAAAATGTCCATAAAATATAGAAGAAGAGCTAGGTGAAAATATAGAAGAATTTTATATAGCAAACTCATGTACAGAATGTATATGTCTGCAATCATTAGCACCAAATTGGTATAAAGATATAAAATCTAAAAAGGATATAGATAAAATTGTAAGAAGATTGGAAGATATTCGGATAATCGGAGAAATACCAATAAAGTATTGAGATAAAAATGGTATAGTATGTAAGATTAACAAAATAAATCCTGACTATATAATCAAGACAAGCCCTATAGAAACAACACCTAAAGACATAGAAGAATTTAAGATGCATATTAAAAATTTACTAAAATTAGGAGCTATAAGAGAAAGCCGAAGTCCTCATAGATCAGCTTCATTCATAGTTAGAAATCATGCTGAAATAGCTAGAGGAAAGTCAAGAATGATTATTAATTATAAAAGACTAAATGATAATACTATAGATGATGCTTATAATATCCCAAATAAGCAAGAATGGATAAATAGAATACGAGAAAGTAAATATTTCTCAAAATTTAATTTAAAAGCTGGGTTTTGGCAAGTAAAAATGGTAGAAGAATCAATAGAATGGACTGCTTTCGCATGTCCTCAAGGTCATTTTAAATGGCTAGTAATTCCCTTAGGATTAAAAAATGCTCCTACTTTATTTCAAAGAAAAATACAAAATATTTTTAATGAAAATTAAGAATTCACATTAGTTTATATTGACGACTTATTAGTTTTCTCAAAATCCTATAAAGAGCATATAGCTCATTTGGAAACTTTATTTAGAAAGGTAGAACAGTATGGGTTAATATTGTCTAAAAGAAAAATGGAGATATGTAAGAAAAAGATAATTTTTTTAGTCATGAAATAGGAGCTGGAAAATTTTATTTACAAGATCATATTGCAAAGGAAATTTTACAATTTTCCAGATGTCATGAATGATAAGAAAATCCTGCAGCAATTCTTAGGAGTAGTAAATAATGATAGAAATTATATTGAAAATTTAGCTAAGCTAGCTGGTCCATTGAATGCAAATTTAAGAACAAACAGGCAAAAATATTTTAATTCTAAAGATATAAAGTTAGTAAGAACTATTAAAGAAAAGGTCAAGGATTTAAAACCCCTAAAGGTACCTTTAGATGATAATTATTTCATTATAGAGACAAATGCATCCGAGTTAGGATGGAGTGCGATATTAAAGCAAAAACCATACAAGTACTCTCCAAAGTTAGAAGAAAAAATATGTAGGTATGTTTTAGGAAAATACAAGTTAAAAATAATAAACAATACAGATAGAGAAATATTAGTTGTTATTAATGCAATAAATGCTTTTAGATTATATCTAGGATTTAAAGAGTTCACAGTTAGGACAGACTGTGAAGCTATATGCAGATACTACGATAAAGTCAATAGTAAGAAAAGTTCAACTAGGCGATGGGTTCTATTTGAAGATATTATTACTGAAAATGGTTATACAGTAATATTTGAGCATATAAAAGGTAAAGATAATACTTTATCTGATATATTTTCATGATCTTCTATTTTGCAGGAATGAAGAAAGGAACACGCCCTATTTGGGGTTGAATATTTTAGTTTTGGAATTGATAATAAGTTAAGAATTTTCTCACCAAATACTTATAAATTCAAACCTCGAGACCATATTGTACTAGATGACATACAAGAATGCATTCTAGACAATTTTTTGTTTCAATATAACAATAAGAGAGAAGACAAAGGTTATATGCTAGCTATATTAAACAGTCTAGCTGAATATTTTTATATAATTAATGGGAAAATACAACCGAAAGAACTATCTGGCAATATAAAGAAAAAACTCATATATGTTATATATAGGGGAAAAACACCAGAAATCTATATATCATTTGAAGAAGTTATAGCCCAGCAGATAGAAAAAAGAAAAAGATAGAGGAGTATCTTAGAAAATATATTTAGATATTGATCAAGCTCTTTCATATGTAAGAAGTATTCTCGGAGGAAACTATTTCTTAGAGCCAGCAGCCAAAGACTATATCTAGAAATATAGGAAGGCTAATGAAATGAAACTAATATGGGCAAGGCCAAATATAAGAGAAGACAGATCGTTTAGGCTACATACATATAAAGAAGCGGTAAAAAAAGAGATAGATCCATTGAATAAAGAATATGTTAATACGAAGATGAAAGAAAAATTATAGTCAATAACTCTTCAATGAAAAAAAGACATAAAGGAAGAAATCTTGCAAGAAATAAGCAATGAAATAGATGAAAATTTTGAAAATATAATGAAAGACTATGAAGAAAATATTAAGAAAGATTATGAGTCAAAAATGAATATACAGATATCTGATGATCATGATAATGATGATGATGATGAGATGTTGGATATCCGTGGTCATGGGCAACGACCAGAATATTAGATTTCAATATTATCAAAATTGAAATAAATAAGTATCCAATTATATAAGAAATATATTCTCTATGTTGATAAGGTGTTATCAATAATTCGGCCGGGGGAAGAGATAATTAATACTACATGCCAGAATCCTTGGATTGATGTTTACACATCAATCATTCGGGCGTAGAACACCATACCAAGAGTTATCCAGAAGGACACATGAAGACACTGTAGCCAGAACAATTATTGAAGGCCGCAGCTTCGTCCAGGGCAATAGTAAGAGAGAATAATTGAAGACTTCTCCTCGAAGGCGCTCCAGAAGATAAAGCACGAAGGACGCTCTAGAAGGCTCTTCCTGCTCTATAAGAGGAGAAGCTAGGAGCATGCATTCAACACCAGCATTTGAGACGAGCATTCGACACTGCACTCTCATGCAGCACCAACACATACACTCCATCTTCACATACACTATGAAGACCACGATCTCAGAAGAGCTCTGAGTTCATCCACCACTAATAGTAATACTCCGCTACCGTTGTATTACTCCACCACCTTTGTAAATTAGAGAATAAAGGAAGTCTCGTGACCTTCTTGCGCTTGTAAGGTAATCCCTAAGGCTTATGCTAAGTGCTTGGGGTTTCCTGAAAGAAAAAGTCGTATGTAAGCTTATTCTGTGGAAATGAATTAAGCTTCCCTGTTTTAATCCCTGCCTTCCTTTAAGCTCATTCATATGGGGTGATGTCTCTATGCTAGGGACCCTAGAGGAGAAACATCTGCATGTGTTGTTCTCGTGTTAGCCCTGGTAGCGGCATTTGTATAGAACCCTGTGTGCGTAGAGAAGTGTTCCCTTCAGGTGGAACTGTCTAAGGAGATGATAGAGACTGAGTCATGTGTGTGCGTGGCTGGAGATAGTGAGAGAGAAGACCGGGTTAGCCTGGTTCTGAAGCGAACCAGTGATGCATATGGTGAGTACCGAGTAGGACTGACACAAGCTTAGTCACACGACCAGCTAAAACATTGGTCTCGCCAGCCTGCAAAAGATCCTGAGAAGCATAATCCGCATACGCATATTCACTAATCACGCATGCATCCTGCATCCACCATCCATAAAGCAAATACACGTGCTCCAAATAGTGCCTACATAGTGAGAAAGTTAGTGCTCGAATAGTGAGAAAGTTGGGTGCCTAAGCCACTCCCGGGTGAGTGATCGTGCACTATTCATTTTCCGAATTTGAATAGTATCGAGTATTTTGAATAGTGCAATGAATTTGAATAGTGATATGAATAGTAACTCAAGAATTTTAAATTTGAATTTTGAGTTTGAGTTTGTTGCAGCAGTGAGGAGAAGCCAGGAGCATGCATTCAACACCAGCATTCGAGACGAGCATTCGACACTGCACTCTCATGCAGCACCAACACATCCACTCCATCTTCACATACACCATGAAGACCACGATCTCAGAAGAGCTCTAAGTTGGTCCACCACTAATAGTAATACTCTGCTACCGTTGTATTACTCCACCACCTTTATAAATTAGAGAATAAAGGAAGTCTAAAAGAAACGGAGGGTAACTACCACCCCTATATGGTAGCTACCCTATTGGACCACAAACACCAAAAATGGAAAAGGACCCGTATAGCCAGTGACAAAACCAACTTTACTTACTCCATTTAGAAACGCTGACATCGGAACTCCTGCTCTCTTCGCATGCAAGTAGTCCATTAGCATGCACGAGAATGTCATCTGCGCCAATCTTTCTACCAGCCACAACCTTAGTAACCCTGCATGCATTTTGTCATGACCTTGGAGCCGAGCAGGAGGCGCTGGGTACTATATAGTTATTTGGTACCCAGGTACAGTAATCTTCTACAACTAAAAAAACAAAAGTAAGACTATTTTTTCATGTGACTTTCTTTGGGGTCGTCATCGCTCCGCTCCCCTGCGATACCCGTCTCCCGTCCGCGTGCAAGTCACACAAACGCAGCAATCACCGCCCCACCCACCGTGCGTGCGACCCGCTGGAGCTCCCCATCCCCATCCCCACACCACTGTCGCACTCCTCCCCACCGATCCCATCGCGCCCCTGCGATCCCATCGCGCCGCGATCACCCGCCGGCCTTGCTCCTCCGCCGTCGCCGTCGCCTAGCAGCCTCGCCGCGGCCTCCCTCGCCAAGCACCCGGTGACCCAGTCAGCTAGGGCATCGACGGTTCCAGATGTCGTCCCCCCTACCGCCACCCCTCCCACATCGAGGATGGATCCAAATGAGGCAGCCCAGCCGGTGAGCAGACTGTCGACCATCGCCCTCGGCTGATCCGGCGACGAGGCGGACCGGGTAGGGTGGAGGCGCTCGCCCTCGGTGGATCCGACGAGGAGGCATCCTAACCCAGGTGAGAGCGCACGGCACGATGGCCACCCTCATTCTCCTCCATGCCCCTTCCTCCTCATGCCGCAAGGGCGGGGCGACAGCGGACCTCCTCGGGTGCTGCGCCGGTGCAGTGGTTCGCCATCCCCGGCCGCGATGAGCCCCCACGGCGGCGGTCCCCGGGCACGACGCCGCCGGGCGGTCCCTACTGGTGCTCCCCAGCGCGGCTCCCCCCTGATACGGCATCGTCTCGCCCAGGTCACCTCAAATGATGGCGCCGTTCTAGATGGTGCGGACCCGGGATGCGCCGCCTCCTCTCGGGGTCTGTGCCGCCGCCATTGCTGCCACGTTCTTCCGAGAAGCCATCGTCACCACGTTGGTCATCGTACATGGCGTCGCTGGATGCTTCATCGACAATCAAGTCAGAATTGGAATCGCAATCGAATCTCGAAGACACCCGTTCGGATTCCATGGTACGCTCGACACGAACTCCTTCCGTTATTTTCCTGTTTATAGAGATTTTGGTTGAAACTGAAATTAAAAGTTGCCATTGGGACATCCTGATCTCGCAAGATTTGTTGGGACATCCTAATCTCGCAGGCGACCTGACCTCACCGAGGTGGACAACGCTCCTGGCCTCACCGGGCACGATCAAGCAAGGTTGGCTTCTTACATGCTGTTTCTCCCTCTTCTCTGATTCTTATGTTATTACTCATCATGTACTGACAAAAGTAGTAAAAGAAAGAGAGCGAAATTAACTGGGACATGTGATTTATGGTTCAAAATGTGCACAGTATGAGTAAAATCAAGTAACTCAGTTGGCAAATCCTAATTTGTAGATGTTGTTACCTTTGATTCTCTTCCAATTTGCAGTTCCAGTGGCGATCCAGTGATATGTCTCTGAAGGACATCAACTTGGATGAAAGTTATTTTCTGCCTTGGCTTGTAGGATCTTATTTCTTCATGTTTTACCTAGACAGTTTGACAAAGACGAGCACCAATCCAGGAGGAGGATAAGCTTGACTTAGGCTCAGTGAACTTCTTTCCAAGTGTGAGTCCAAGGCAAAAAAGATTGATCTTGGTGAGGTTGACCTCAAGACAATCATGGATGGGAGCAAGGAGCTATATTCAGGACAGAGGCTTTCCTTTTGTTGTTCGAGATTTTGCTGCAAGCTTCGATTTTGGAAACAAGTCCGACGGTTATCACTTTGGACTTCTACATAAAAACATATATCCTACACAAAACAAAAAAAAGAGACTGATTTCTAGATTTACCATTGTTTAGTATGTGATTTTGGAATATTCACATAGACCTTCAATATTGTTTTCCTTTATAAGATATATGCTGTGAACTGTCTGCTTCTTTTCTTCTAAGGAAGAGCCAATTCAGCAATTGACAAAGAACAAGACGGTTGCTATTAACTTGTCGAATATAATCAATCTGATCCTCTTTGTTAGAAAAGTCATTGACTCCTCTTTTTGTTAGAAAAGTCATTGCTTCAGTTGAAACTGTATCCATGGCGTTTATAGCGTCAATGCTGGATTGCCTATTGGACCTTCTGTCAGGGTTCATACTTTGATTCATGGCATATACACTATGAAAAAGCTAAACAAGCACAACTATCCAATTGGAAAGCGCATGCAACAAGTGGTAAGGACATTGTTTATCTAACCAAATTACTTTGGTTGATTTTTATCATATATAAATTAAAGATGATAAATGTTCTTAATCACATAAGAAAAGCCTACTCAGATGTGAGCTCTAAACTTTTGTGTTCTTGTACATTCTTCAGAATCAGTTTACTTCAAAAGGGTAGCTAAAATGAGTTACACACCGGCATATTTCTGAATTCCACAATACCTAGATCACTCGGAGTGTTGTCTTTTGTTTTCAGAATTCCAGTTAACTGAATAGTTTGACATTTGTTACAGGGAATAATAATTTCCGCTTTAGTAATGGGCACACTTGGCTTCCAAGTGCCGATCGAATCAGGGCACCAACTCATAACTCAGGTACATCATCTATGGCTCACATTTAGCATTACACCTAATATTAACTCTCACTTGGTTGCTAATACTAAACATGTGCGATGACCCAACAGGAGCATGTGAAAATTTCAAGCGTCCTTCGTTGCAGCCGTGAAGTTATTCCTCATACTGTACTGCCAAACGTTCAAGAACGAGATCATGAGGCGTGAGCTCAGGATCATTTCTTCGGCGTGATCACAAACTCCATAGGCCTCGCCGTCTGATACATATGGCAGGGTAGATGGGCCAAGTTGGTGTCATACTGCCATACTGGTGAGCACAATTGCAATACAATCATCTGAACATTGTGGATTATATAAGTAGAACAGTGCTGTCAGTATATAACTAAATGTAATGAATTGTAAAAAATGTAGATTGTGCTCTACATTGACGTGGGTACACTGATTGGCAAGTCCAAGTCGGGCAGCAGAGTACCTGATGAAGCTCACATAACTGATCTGGAACCACCATGAGGAGATCTGGCACATGGACACGCTGCGAGCATACACCTTCGACATGCACTGTTTCGTGGAGTCCCAGTGTCCTGCCATTCAACCAGGCACACGACATCAGTCAATCGCTGCAGGAGAAGTTGGAGCAGCTGCCCGAGTTCTTGCATGCCTTTGTCCACGTGGACTTCGAGTTCACAAACCGGGTCGGGCACAAGATTGATGTCTGATTGCTTAGTTACTTTAGATCCTAGTTCAGCTGTAATGCTGTTGTAGATCTTACTTCATGAGCTCACAACTCTTAAAAGGGCATCTAGATGTCTTTGTTGTGTGACGTCATGAAAATTGGAATACCATTTTGTATATAGATAACTATTCTCTTAGAATGGAAAATCCCACTGCAGGTTCTGCGATACACTATTCCAATCTCAGAGTATGTAACCAGCTCATAATTCCGTAGGTAAATCCACAATAAATGGGAGCCAGTAATGCTAATTCAAATGATGGCATAACACCTGCACAAGCAAGGATGATGTCGCCCTCACAGACTGCTCCGCATGACGCCCACCTGAGACTCCTTGGAACAGTTATTCTTGGACCTACAGAATAGATGATTCAGCAAAAGAGTCAGACACTCTGAATTTGCACCTCTGTTCCGATCTGTGGCCCAGAGAACGTGGAGCAGAAGGCGATTGCTATGGAGGATTTCAGACGAGTCTAACTCCTGGTGTGAGTTTTGTTAAACACATATAAGTCTAACTCCCTGGCGTAAATACAACCAGGCTAGACTATTGGCTCTGGAAGTTTGAAATTAATCGTAATGTTATATGTCCTTATTATCACCGTTGCAACGCATGGGTAATTTTGCTATACAACTAAAAAGAAAAAAAGTAAGATCACCATTTCGTGCTGGCAATCGTCGCTCCATCGGTCTGCCACTCCATCCTCCCTCGTCGCCACACTCAGATTATCATGCACAAGTAGTCTACACGTGCAATCTCAGTGTCACACAATCACAAGCGGGTCTCTCGAGGCTCTATTTTTCTTGGTACTTTACGCTGGTGTATAGTTTCATTTGCTGTAGCCTATAGGCATAAAAAAATCAGAGTTTGAGATAAATCAGTAGTGTTGGTGAGTCTGCGACGTCGTGCTCTATGTTAATTTCACAAACTTTGTTTTTTAATTAAATATCACTTTAACGGCCTATTTAATTTTACAGTATTGTTAATTTATCATGCGATCTGTGTGTTTTTAATACAAAAGTTTAGTTGTCCCGTAGCAACGCACGGGCACGCTACCTATATATATATATATATTATTTATACTCCCGGGAATAGTTACTTCCATAATCAATAAATCACGTTGCTTATGTGTACATATTCATTTATCAGTTTGAGTATGTTGACATACTAATATTAAGATACTCCAGATCTTTAATATGTGAAAAAATTTCAAAAGAGCCCATATTTTTTAATATATTATATAATACTATGATAGTAACATATAAAATAAGTATAACCATATACTCTAAATATACATATATATTTGTCATACATAGTACCCTAAATGGTCTAGTATGATGATATACTCCATCTACGCATACTTTATCGGGCCGTATATGCCCTAAATCTAGAGATATACATATGGGAGTAACTACTCCTTAGGAGTACGAAATAATTTCCATATATATATATATATATATACTCCTTAGGAGTAATAGGAAATATATATATATATATATATATATACTACCTATTGGGAGCCCGGGGCTCTAAATAACTAATGGAGAGCCCCAGCCAGCCCAACCATTTAGGTCCACGGGGCTGACGCATAGGCAGGTAGGGCACCACTATAGACCCTAGCAGATCGGATGCATAAAAACTCTATTTAAGCTGCGCAGAAACGTTTTTGTTGCGTTGCATAGAAATTAGTAGTGGGATGAATGAAAATCAATTCGTCACCGCATAAAAACCTCTCCGCAAGCTGGACGTTACACCTGACAGCAGCTGACGCAGGCCGACACATGCATGTACGCGTGCGTCCACTTCGATCTCTTCTATCTTTTCGCAATAATTTCTCAACAAAGCATTCAATTCAAAAACGGCTTTCACCATTGAACTCCTGACATTTTTATGCACGATTCAAGATCCATTGTGAATATTTTTGAAAAAAATTAAAATTCATAAATTTGAAATTTGAATCATGGCACGTGATGGCCGTTTGGATGCATAGAAACTATGGTCACGATGCGCAAAAAAGTTTTTTCCACCTCCATTGCATAGAAATTAGTAGTAGGATGAATAAAAATTAATTTTGTTACCGTATAAAAACCTGTCTGCGAGATGAACATTTCACCTGACACAACCTTAATTGTCTCGCACCAACATCATGCTTTCCGCTATGGAGGTGTATAATTAACATGTGAACAATGCATAAAACATGGAGACCGCAAGCGTAAAACATGGAGACGATTTCGTCTACTCCAAAATTTAAAATTTAAAATTAGAATCACTGGTCAAGATGTGCATAAAACATTTTTTGACACCGACTTTGCATAGAAATTAGTAGTTCGGCGAATAAAAATTAATTTTGTTACCGCATAAAAAAAGGCATAAAAACTATTGTAACAATGTATAGAATTATATATCAACTGTCGACAAAAGATGCTCGGCAGTCCTCTGAGGGGTATCCCACAAAGGTAGATTGATCGGTGGAGGTGCGCGTGATCAGGAACTGGATGGTAACACAAGGCGCAGAGACAACGATTTAGATAGGTTCGGGCCGTCTAATCGACATAATACCCTACGTCCTGTGTCTTTGGTGTACTGTATTGAACATGAGATCTATGGACCGTGTCCGCTAGGGGACCCCTGCCTCTCCTTAAATACTCTAGAGGGGTAGAGTTATAAGGAAAGTATCCTATTTGGTACTATATAATACCCTACTAGCCACCTCCTCGATGGTGCGGCCCATGTGTTGTCTTGTGGATACCAAGGGGCATATCCCCACAGCTAGTCCCCGAGCCTGACAGTAGGTGACATAGTCACGTGGTGCCAGGGTTAGAGAGTAGAAGAAAGGCAGAAGACCGGCCGAGCAGGCAACCAGTCCATGGGCAGAGACCTGAAGTGCACATTCACCGTTAGGTGAAGTGTGCCCACTTAGTCCCCAAGCCCGCTGGAAGATAAAGAATGAATCTTGTCGTAGGGTCAAAGAAAAAGAAGTCTAAAAGCTTGCCAACATCGTCTGACATGCGCGTATCAAGACCCCAGACGTGTCTTTGCCAAGATCAAGGCCCGATCACCGATAAGACGTAGCAAGATCCGACCACCAAGGGATACAAATATGTAGAACGGGCCCGTACACCGATGTAAAAATATATGAACGTCCGGAGAAAAAGGAGTCAATGGTGGTGAAATGGCATAAGGAGTCCCCGGCGTAGCTGGTGATGTCCGAGCACCAAAGAGCGAGGAGTCCTCGGTGAAGATGTATTTATATTTAATCCACTGGCGTCGCGCGCGAGCAATGTCCGAGCACCGAGGAGTGAGGAGTCCCGATGTCGTGGGCGATGTACGAGCACCGAGGAGTCCCCCGCGTCGGTGACAATTTTCGAAAGACCGAGGAGTCCTAGGCCCCCGGCGTCATTGGCGCTGTCAGAAGCCGCAGCGAGGGAGTCCCCGGGCGTCGCCGGCGATGTCCGAGCACCGAGGAGTGAGGAGTCCCTAACGTCGTTGCATGTCCGAAGAACAAAGCGTGAGGATTCTCAGGCGTCGCCGGTGATGTTCGAGTATCGAGGACTCCCGGCCTTGCGATCACCCATCCTCGAACGCACGAAGAATCCGAAAAGCCGAGGAGTCCCCGGCGAAGTTGCGATATCCGCGAGGAGCCCCAACAGTCCGATCAATCGGTCGGCGGCGAAGTGAGCATTGAGTAGAAGCGACCGAGTCCGATCAACTCGTGCGACGACGAAGTCCATGAACCTAGCGGTCCGACCACTTGATAGGTGGAGAAGTCCGAGCACCGTGGCCCGATCACCGGACGGTGATCCTAAATACAAATATGTTTGGAGATGTAAAAATATGAACTCCGAGAAAAATCAGCAATGGTGGTGAAATGACATATACAGCTCGGCAATCGATATGTGAAGATGTATTTATATTTAATATAAACCGTAGAATTATGTAAAGTCTCGTGCTAGCCCATTAACCATAACGCTGAGCCTTGAGCCCGTGTGCATGTAGGAAGAACAAAGCGTCGCTAAGGAGTCTCCCATAACGCGGAGGCGGGCGCTGGCACGCGTGTAGGGAGGATCTGAGAGTTGGGGATATCGGCGCCAACATGCTGACGCTTCATGGTTGTTTGGAGAGCAAACATGGAGAAAACAGTTCGGAAAAACATTACGGCGATATATGAAGATTAGAGAATATTTAGAATATTAAAGCGTGACTTAGCTGTAGACAGAAAGTCTCGTCGGCGACGTATGGCGTTATCTGGTTGGTGATGCGGGCAGCTCGCTTGATGGCTGGAACAGGGTTGATCCCGTGTTGGAGTAGGACGGACGTAGTCGGAGCTTGGCGGTGTCAATCCGCGTACGAAGATGTGCACCGTGGTGGTCGAAGGATGTCAACGCGATCAGCTGAGTTGCCGCGAAGGATGTTGATCTTGAGATCCCATCTGGCCCGCCATGGATCAAGTGCACACCCCTACCTGGCGCGCCAACTGTCGACAAAAGATGCTTGGCAGTCCTCCGAGGGGTATCCCATGAAGGTAGATTGATCGGTGGAGGTGCGCGTGATCAGGAACCGGATGGTGACACAAGGCACAGAGACAATGATTTAGACAGGTTCGGGCCATCTGATCATCGTAATACCCTATGTCATGTGTCTTTGATGTACTGTATTGAACATGAGATCTATGGATCGTGTCCGCTAGGGGACCCCTGCCTCTCCTTATATACTCTGGAGGGGTAGGGTTACAAGGAAAGTATCATATTTGGTACTATACAATATCTTGCGGTACACGTCGACCAGTGCCGTACACGCCTTGATGTTGTGGGCTGGGCCACCTCTGATGGTGCGGCCCATGTCTTGTCTTGTGGATTATCGGGGGACATACCCCTACACCAACAATGTATAGAATTGTATAGAAGCTTACATATAATTGTTTCAACAATGTATATCAAAGAGTTCTAACAATGCATAGAAGAGTGCTCTATCCATGTATATAATTGTGTGGAAGAGCACAGATAACTGCTCCAATAATGTATACAAATTTGTTGTAACAATGTATAGAATGCATATCATGTTACAGTTTAGCCATGCATAGAAACTTATGCACACAAGCATACAACCACAAATTCAACAAAAAAACGATGAAGAGGCGTCGCTGCCGTTGCCGGAGATGTTGGGGAAGGGGCCGGAGGCGGCGCAGCTCGCCGTCAAGGGCTGCCGAGCACGCGGGCTTGGCCAGGCCATCGCCGGGGGCCGCAGAGCTCGATGGCCTAACGCGGCCGAGCACGAGCGCTGCCAGTCGCCGGCGGCCGGCAAGTCCACCCCGGCCCTCCCATTGGCGCACGCGGAGCCGCACCGTGACCAGCATGCAGCAGAACCGCGTGCCTGCCATCACCGTCTCCGTTGCCAGATCTCGCACCGCCGCTCCTCGTCCACCGTGCGCCGTCGTCGCCGTCCGCCATAGCCATCCACACTCGTAGTCGTCCTCGTTGCGCCCCGTCGCTGTCCTTGCAGCCAAGCTCGCAGCTGCCCCACCGCATGCCCGACGTCGACGTCCCTGTCCGCCAAAGGCATCCCCACGTGCAACCACGAGCTCCAGGGCGTTGTCGCCGTCGACGTCGCAGTCCCCACGCATCCGTGCTCTAGGGCCCGGTGGCGCGCTCCAGGGAGGCGGGTACGGTGCTCCAGGGGCGGCCGCGTGCCGCCGGGAGGGAGCAGGGCCGGCGCCGTCATAGCTGGGAGGCTCACCACGCGCGCCGCCGTGGTGAGGAAGGCCGCGCGCGCCACCGTGGGGGAGGAAGCAGCGCGCCGGGGAAGGGGTGGGGCCGTGCCGCCGGTTGGGAACGAGCGACCCGTGGGTCGGTACAGGGAGCCCTGATTCATCATATGAGGAGACTGGCTACTATTTACTTAAACCTATTTCTAACTTTTCATGTTGAGATTAGGCGATGGCTGAGCAGATTATAGCCATAACATATATTGTTAAAAAGTTTGCTGGGTTTTAATTAGTGAGATGGTTTGTATGCCCCTTCACTCTTTAAGCTTTGCATCAAAGTTTTGTATTGTTACATTTGTCTACATTGGATAATTTCCCTTGGGAGAGCATTCAATTTATCAACATCTGCCTATAGGCATTGTATAAAAGGTGCAATACTGAATATAATTCAATATATTGTTCTGTGGTATATAACAAATTCTGATGATGAGGTTGATGGGCTGGTCTAATATGTAAAACTTGCTTTGGGCATCCATAGGGTCATAGAAAATTAAAGGAACTTCAATCGATATTGCTATTTCAAAAATTAACTTTGTTTGCATTTTGAGTTTATATTGTACATTTGAGATTCTACTAATCCTTTAATTTCCTTTTGACACATGTTTTGACAAAATTAAGTAAATTATTACTTTGCTATAGCTTTGATTAGGGAGCTCCAATTCAGGAATCTGGCCTTTTGATGCATGTTATGGTAGTATCAATATCCTAATTGTTGATTTTGTTCTTTTGGTCAAGCATTAGGGGGTTGAGGGACCCCACCTGAATGGTTTAGAGATGGAAAGAATATGATAATTGTCCAAATCTCTATCAAATCTGAGTTTTGTGGGCAATTAGCAATGTTGTGCATCCACCCAAGGTTATTGAACCACGGCTAAAAAAATAGTCATAAGTATTAAAAGGAGGGTTAGCGGGACCCTTCTAGTTCAAGAATCCATATATGCCTAGAACTAGAACATCCACGCATGCAAAGCCTTTTAACTAAAGCATGACCCTTCTAGTTCAAAAAGCAAAAAAAAAAAAAACCCAAAGTGGATCTCTCCATATTGTTGCGATCATGCACCTCAACTCCAGGAATTAGGCAAGAAAACTAGGGAAATTTACATCCAATGGAACTTGATCGAAAATAATACCATGTGTGGGCGCAAAATCATGAACTCGATGTAATATGGCATCAAGTTAGATTCCTAGTGTCAAACAATGTCAAATGTACATGTAAATCCTAGCTATCTTCAAAATATTGGTATGTTCAATGTGACTCAAGAAAAAAGGCAGTTTATCATACCGTGTAAATGGTGACAGCTAGCACCCATGTGTGCACAGAAAAACATAAATTTTTTGGAGTCTATCATATAGTTTCCTTGTCCCAAATAATGGCATTATGATTTAAAAAAAATAACTGTCCAAACACTCCAGATTAATGATGCCAGTATGAAGGAAGCTGAATTGGCATTGAGGCATATAACTATTGTCCATCACATGCAGGGCATGATATATGCATTGTATTATCAGCTGTGGATTGCATGATCAAACAAGCCATTGGGAAAAAAACTAGTTGACAGCAACTTAGTTAAAACCTGTACTCACAAGCAGAAGCATCAAAGCAATATGGTATATAATCTAAGAAAAATGACAAGCAGTTACAAAAATACAATATCAACTTCTGTTCCTATCTAGTAAGATCTGAATTGAATCAGGACTAACATTCTTGTGACTGTCAACTTAAATGGATAGCTAAGAAAAGAAAAAAAGTTCCCCTGTATAATCAGTAAAAACTACATGAGCTTGAGAGGAGCATGGAGAAGGTTTTGTATACATGAATATCGCAATCCCACGCTCACAGTTGCCATGTCTAGAGGTGTCCAGGACATGAGACTAATACGAAACAGACTACACTGATTTTAAATAACAAAATTGAATTAAAGATCGAATCAGGACTATTTCATGTTCTGGAAATGTTGTGCTTATATTGAAAGCACATGTGAGTTTGAACCTTGTGTTGAGGATGCCAGCTTACAAGCCAAAACTCCAGTGGCGCAACATTGCAGCCCCTCAAACTATCAGAACGGAGATAATTGTGTTGCATTATTACAAAGGTATCCGTCCCCAATTTCAGCACGAGGTAACCATGATAGCAATCACCGGCTCGCATGTCAAAGAGCTGCTGCACGAGGTAACCATGATAGCAATCACCGGCTCGCATGTCAAAGAGCTGCTGCACGAGGTAACCATGACATCTCCTTTCCACCGTCGACCTCGCGAGTCCGCTCTTTCATGTGCCGACACCTGCATCAACACCACAGTCTAAAATGTGGCATGTCATTGATTCATAATCTAATAGACAATGAAACGACAGTAGACAAACAGAAGCAATGCATGAAAATGTCATGGGTTCATAATCTAAAAGCCAGCATATTATATTATGAGTGAATAGTAAACTTAATTATATACAAGCTATCATCAATTTAGTTTCTGAAACACAAATAATTACATATGTAGATGCAAAATCTTAGCTACCAAAAAAATGAAATGGATGAACCATAAAATCCTTAGTTATTTGTAGATGACCTAGACTGACCACAAATATTATTTTGCACAAAAAAATTGAAATCACACCTTTTTTTTCATGAATCGATAACAAATAAGAAGTTCTCCACAACAAGCCGTGATGACCCGGCTCAACTTCCAAACTCAAATCATGAGAGCATTGAGTTAAAAAATGCACAATTAATTTAAGTGATGTAATGTTCCACGATTAAAAGACAGGCTACAGGTGGTGTCTACTCTGAATTCCAAACCTATTACCTGAGGGTTAGAGTTCGAGACCAGAGGAGACAAAGGGACTGCTTGGTTCCGAGTGTGACCTTGCCTGACCAGGGAGCCTTCAATGACTATTCCTAAATAAGAGGAATCATAATTCTTTTCCATGAGAAAAGTGAGCAGATTGGTTCCTTGCAGCTTACTGGCAAGCTGACACCCTTGTTTACGTACACGTTGTCCGCCATCGTGACAGGGAGGACGGGGGAGGGCTGCACCGTGCCTAAACGAGAAAGGGCTGCCGACGTTCACCTACCGACCAGTCCTTGCCTGCTGCACCACCATATCCTTGGCAAGCAGTAGCAGATGGTGAGCACCGCCTTCCGCCAACACTGGTGTCCATGGGATCCGGCCTATCAGCAGCTCCCCTATGCAAAAAGAGGCTGATGGAGTCATCAGTTACAATAATTGGACTTTGATGCAGAACACAAAAAAAAAATTAATTCCAAATGAAACGGAGGGTAACTACCACCCTTATATAGTAGCTACCCTAGTGGACCACAAACACCAAAAATGGAAAAGGACCCGTATAGCCAGTGACAAACCAACTTTACTTACTCCATTTAGAAACGCTGACATCGGAACTCTTGCTCTCTTCGCATGCAAGTGGTCCATTAGCATGCACGAGAATGTCATCTGCGCCAATCTTTCTACCAGCCACAACCTTAGTAACCCTGCATGCATTTTGTCATGACCGCTTTTTACAGTACTTTTATTTGCCGTGCTTCTTCCAGTCGGCATTACCCATTTCCAGCAGGAGTAAAGCGTGCAGCACGGTTATGCCATAACTGGTGACCGGGCGGGGGTTTTGTTATAGGCACTAAAAATATTTGCTTGCACATGAAGGACTGTGTCGCGTATGGGTAGAAACGGATCGGATATAGAGAATCGATGCTAATATTATTATTTATCATATTTTTGGTCGGATACAAATATGGATATAAATATCTCCGGATACTAATACCAATCAGAAAGTTGAGATTCTGATTTGTATTTGCATATAATTTAACTTTGTTGTATAAAAGTATCCATCCAAAAAAAAGAAAATTAACTTCATGCACCTTCTTTCCCATGTAGACCAAGGCTCCGGCTGCGTGCGTCTTTAGTGCGATACGCACGAGCATTAGCCAACAAAATGTGCGCATGGTCTCCATGCACCTTCTTTCCCATGTACCACCACCACTAGCAGCACCTACGGTCGGTCACTTGTCTCACGTAGTACCCGTGAATGAGCAGGCCCCATGGTCTCACCCCCTATCAGACCTGAGTCAGAACCATGCAACCCATGGAGTGGACCCTTACTGCAGTGTACACCGGCAGCAAAAAAGCATTCAAGCCGCATGCACTATACGGAAGCGCCATACCAATAATAGAGACGAGACAGAATATGCACCGTACATACTGCCTGTCTAAAAAATGCAATTCTTGCTTTTTCCAGGAATTCAATCAAGTCCTTTGTCGGGTACTAGGTTGCAACAAGCATCCTCACACTTTCTATGCCTTTCATGAGTGTTTAGGGATAACCTGTGTCCCATAGATCGTGATCAAAGCATCCACCAATCAATTTAAACTTTGATAAACTTTGCCTCAAGTTATATAAAAGATTAGTAATATTCATGATACAAAATAAATATCATTAAATTAATTGTGAAATATATTTTTGTAGTAATTTTATTAACGAAGCCATGACAAAATGTTGCCTAAAAATATTATTTGGTTTTTGATGGAGCCAAAATATGGAGCGGTAAAAAATGTTTCATCACAATAGATAGCCATAACTAAAATAAGTCATAGTACCTTTCAGATAACGCAACAAAGGATCATTCCGTGGTTGACAATTTGAGCTTACTCACAAAAAAACTCGCCAGTACATGACATGAGTACAATCGAAGTGATTGTAACAGTTACCCCACCATATGGTTAAACAAGTATAAAATATACCTTTTATCTTTATCTCTCTTGAAACAACTATGGAAGAGTTTTTATTCCACCAATTTCAAAAGCAGTTAAAGGCAAAAGGTCAAAACCTTTCATGTTTCAAAAAATGAATCTTATTTTCTAGAAGAAACACTTCAAAAGATCCTTGGTTTATTGTTTATTCTTCTTCCTCAAAAATATAGGCTTGCCAATAGTATGGTGAGTATGACATGTAGTATCGATATGTCATTGTTTTCTTTCTTTAAGTAAATATGGTCATGTGGGATCTTATTTTGTAGATAAAATCATAAGAAATATTATGGTGAAAACAAATTACAAATCAGATATATGGTTAAATAGATATTAGCATTTGAAGCTCCACTATTTAAAAATTTCAAACTTCGTGCAAGCAAAAGCAAATTGTCAGAAAGGAAAGGACACAGCAGCAAACGTCGTACTACTATGCGGACCTGCTGAGCATGGGCCAGGATGCAAGCGAAAGCCTGCCATTCACGTACACCAAGCGAAGCCTGCCGTTCACGTCCGCGCGAGGCCCGCGTGACGCCTTGTGCCTTCTGCAGCCGAGCCCAGACTCTCGTTGCGTGGGGGGCTACGGGAGGCCATGTCCCACCAAGCAGAGCAAGGGTAGACGGAGCGCACGTGTACACAGCAAGGCTTGAAGCGAGATTTTTTTTTATTTTAACCTTTTTTAATAATAATTTAAAAAATAACACGGCCCCTTTTTTATTTGCACATCTAACCTGGCGCGGCCAAACACTATTGTCGCGCCACCCCTCTGGCGCTTTACCACAAAGAGTAGTGCCACAACCGGCGTGTCGACCACGATTGACGGGTGACGTGGCGGCCTTTCCTAAACTTCGTGCCCCACCCCGCCCATTTCACATGACAGGGGGGATATGAGAAACACAGAAAAAACATGCGCCGCTCCTTCCTCCTCCTTCGCTCAGTCGGTTTCTCCTCTCTCCCTCAAGTCCCTTTCTTCCTCCATTGGATCTTGCCCTCCTCCCCTCCAAATCTCCCTCCTCCACCGCCCCCTCCCTCCGCCCTTTGTCAGATTGGCCTCTGAAGATGCCAAGGCGTGGTAAATCTTCCAAAGCAAGGTATACCCTACGATTGATGTGTAAAGTTTATTGTTCTCGGTTCCTAGAACGAAATGGAAACCCTAGGATTGATTTGTTCAAAATTTGGAATAGGACGTTGGTGGGAACTGCATTCACCCGTTTGCCACTTCCTAGTGGTATTCCAGTGCCGATGTGCTACTGCGGTGATCCTTGCAAGGTAGTGATTTCTGATGAGGAGGAAACGTACAAGCAGAGGTACTGGATGTCTGACAATTACGCGTTTGACCCTACACCTTGTCAGATCCGCATTGGGTTGATGGTGAGAAATTGATATTGTGCAATATTGTTTTATGTGTCATATGAAATCATGCATGGTTTATTAGGTTGTATGTGTAACAGTTGGATGTTTTGCAGGCCTCTCCACCGCTTTGTGATTTTGAGCAGTGGATCGACACCGAGATCAAGAGGAACACAAGTCGTATCTGGGGAAATTGAAGAAGTGGGAGGCGGAGCGCAAGGAGTAGGTGGAGAAGAGACGCCAAGAGGAGGCAGCAGAAAAGGAGCGCATAGAAGAGGCTGAAATGAGGCATGCTGCTCAGTGCAGGGAGCAGAAGGAGAAGAAGTGTCGGTATAGAAAGTGACCAACTAGTGAATATTTGTAGTTTTGTTGTACGTTGTGATCGGAGGTGGCCTAGCACTCAATGACATAGGATTTATATTGGTTCAGGCAACGTGCCCTACGTCCAGTTTGGGTCGGTCGGTGACTTTATTCCTGAGCCCAGGTGCTCGAAGTCTGTAGTGGGGTTACAAACGAGAAGGAGAAAGGTGGGGGTGTACGAGAGGCCCGGTCGGGTCCGACCGGAAGGGCCGAGGGCGACCGGAACTCCACTATGAGCTAGGAGTTTTGAGCGTGTGCTTGAAGGGTTGTGAGCTATCGGTCTAGTGAATCTCAACTTGAAGAAGTAGACCTCATCGTTGGAGGGAGAGCATCCCCTTTTATAGATGAAGGGGGTGGCTTTACAAGTGAGAGGGAGAGAGTACAGATGTTTCTAAGCCTTGTTGCCCACACCAACGAGGATAATGATGATGGTAGGCGCCCACAATATTGTTGCTGTCACTGTAGAATGTCAGGTGCACATGGGAGGTTGTGTTGACTTCTTTAGGAAGGGTGGATGTCGGTACCTGTAAAATATCATTGGTGTATGTGAGGAGCCCTACCACGTGTACCAAGTATGGTGAATCCTAGCACCCACAGTACTATCGATGCCCAGAGGCATGTGGGGGCCTTTTTGCCATACGTGAGTCCAACGGCGCCTACAATACCGTAGACACAAATGTCGGCGCCTAAGTAATCTTGTTTATGTGTCGTTTTATGGTTGTGGAGCAAATTTGTTCCCAATGGAGACGCGGAGCATGTGATGGTATGGTCCCCGGTATCATGGTTTGACTTGTGTGCTGCTTTTCTCCGATCGCCCCGGTCCCTTCGCGGCGTCCCGGTCGGATGGCCCCAAACGTCGTACGGCCTTGTGGCGCCATTCACGCGCCAATGGAGAAGAGTCCGAAGAGCTTCTGCAAGCGAGCCCAGACTCTTCAAGTTTTCCTCGGTCCCCCAAGCAGAGTCGGAGACGTGGGTCGGAGTAGGAAGCGCGTTTTACCAGCGAACCTTCGATCGGAGAGGCCGTCCGGAGGCGGCTGGTGAGTGCTCTTGTCGGAGAGGTGGGCCGAAGAAGTTTGATGAGCGGGCGCTTGTTCTTTCGGGTAGACCTTCCGGTCGGCGATCGGACTATCCTTCCGGCCCGTCGTGTTTTTAGACTCTTGGGCCGGCCCATGAACTACATGCTGTTTTCTTGGGCCGAGCCCTAGCGTGGAAGCCGGTCCCCGAGGGACCCCGGGTTTATAAACCCGACAGGAGCCCCCGAGCCCCAGGCGATTTTGAGCGTAATCATTCGGGGATTTTTTTTTAGCCTCTTCTTTGGCGGGTGAAAGTGCGCGCGAGCGCACCTGCTGGTAACCCCTCAAGGAGCCCTCTGGTAGTTCGGGCAAAATCGGTTGGGGGATTTTCTGCGTTGTCAGCGGGGGAGGTTTTTCTATCGTGACGGCGGGTGCGCGTGAGCGCACCCACGGGTGTAGCCCCCGAGCCCCCGGGCGGTTCGGTCAGAACCGTCTAGGGGGTGTTGTTTCAGCGAGCG